TATATATATATATATATATATAAAAAAATTTCCTTAGGGATTAATAAGGTATTTTGATTGATTGATGGATTGATTGATTAATATTCATAATTTTTCAAATTTAAAGGTATGGTATGGGTCAGGTCGAGTTTTAAAAATATAAGAAGTGTACACAAAAAAGGATGCATGAATACACATGTAGCTTAAGATTTTTGTTTAATTAAGGAGGTGTATTTTGTTATAGTGGTATCAGCTCTTAAGCTGGAGCATTTCACTAACCTACCTGTACTGAATTGGAGCTTATGGATGTTGGATATTTGTGGTTGTGAGAGTGCAGTGATGAGTCACCAGTGTTCTTGTGTACCCCCACCCCCCAGGTGCATAACAGAAGATGGACAGTGCAAATGCCTCCCCCACCTGGTAGGTCGCCAGTGCTCAGACGTGCAATCGGGATACTTCTGTGCGTCGCTGGATTTCTACAAGTACGAGGCGGAGGAAGCCGAGGGGCTTTCGCCGGACAGCCAATCCCTGCCAGTGAGTAGGCGGTCTCTCTGATGTTTACACCAGCTCCGGTGGCCCGGGGTAAGTGCCGAGGTGAATGTCTGGCAGGAGACATGCAGGCTGGGAGCACTGGGCCAGGGAAAGTCTGGCAGCCCCCCCATCATTCTCTCACTCTGATCACTACAGCAATAAGGCCCAGCTGTACAAATGGAAAAGTGGGCTGATAACCGTTATCTACCTGTCTTCCTATACCCTCTCATCGTCACAGTCAGCTTTGATTCTATCCCACAAAGCACAAATCCTCAGTCCCATTTGCATGATAAACAAATAAATAATGGCAACATCAGCAAATCACCAAGACGATATGCACAGAATAACAGTGAACAACTTGGGGGTTGTAACATTGCCCAAACATGCCTGCGTTCTTCATTTGTCACATGTGTCATACGGGTTCCTCACTGATTCAGACAGAGGATCTTCCTTAACTGGGCATTATATGCCACTGGTTCTGTCAGCTTCCTGCTTTTTTTCCACTGGATCTGTGCCTGGAAGGTACAGGCTGGGTGTAATGATAAGCACTGATCCAGAGCATTGTTGTGGTGGGGTGGGATGGGGGATTCTCACAGGTCGGGGCCTGCAGGGGAAGTCCCTATCTCCCTGCCCATCTCAGATGTGTGCCCACATGTGACAGTGCTCAGCTCCACCTGCAAGCCCCAGCAGGAAAGCCTTAAGATGGCTGAATGAACTTCCCATTCTCTTACGTGCTGCTGATGGTACCGGGTGCTGCTCGTACGTGAAGATCTCTATTTAATTTTTTTTTTTTTTTTTTTTTTTTTTTTGCTGATTAAGAAAGTACATGTTTTAAAATGGCACATTTCAACAAGAAAACAATTTTCAAGTTTTTGTTCTCACACAGTAACACAGTAAAATTATTAAGTCACAGTTGCAGGATAGGTGACAGGCGCGTGGGGGGACAAAAGGACAAACAGAAGTGCAAAAAAGGCAACAGTGCAAACAAAAGGCAATATAAGAAACTACAAAAAAACATATAACAAAAAGGTGGTGCATTGGGGAAAGATGTGCAAATAGCATACTCGATATATAAAATCATGCTTAACATGTTGTAGCGTGGAGGTACCGGCGGCCAGCGCGGCAGATTGGACTGATGACAGCCCTGTAAATAGTTCTCCGTAGTCGCTTATATTGTAGGTAAAT